ACCTCTCACCCACCTCTCACCCACCTCTCTCACCCTCTCACCCACCTCTCACCCTCTCACCCACCTCTCACCCTCTCACCCTCCTCTCACCCTCTCACCCACCTCTCACACCTCTCACCCACCTCTCACCCTCTCACCTTCTCACCCACCTCTCACCCACCTCTCACCCTCTCACACCCCTCTCACCCACCTCTCACAGTTGCCGCCATCGGTGTGGTCCTGGCAGTCGATGCAGGCACCGGAGCGCTGGTCGCACAGCGCCGCGTGCCCGTTGCACTCGCACGGTCGACAGTCGGGAAAGTTCCAGAATCCGGGCTCGCACTGGTCGCACTGCTTGCCGTAGACGTTGGGGATGCAGTCGCACTGGCCGGCCGCGTCCTCGCAGAAGCTGTTACGCGCACCGATCTGGTTGCAGTTACACGCTGCAGCACACCGACAGAGAGAGAGAGAGAGAGGACGTTGAGGAGTTGATTTTACTGGATTTACTATCGCTTCGAAAGTTACAAACGCACATTTATTGGATAAAAAACCTAAAGGTAAGTAATATTATGGTAAAAACTGATCGTTTATTGTTTTTTTTACTGAAAAGATATAGCTGGTTCACAAAAGAAATCTATGACCGGACGCGTAGCCACGGCCTTGAAGTTTTGGGTGGGCCTGTTCACATTTTGGCTAATTTCATGCCCTGATATTGGGTTTACTCACGCGTGCAGCCATCAGGTCCGAACCCCCAGGTACCGGGAGCGCACTGGTCACACTCCCTGCCTATCACGTTGGGTTTACACAGGCAGTGGCCACCGCTCTTGTCACAGATGTTGCTGGAGGATCCTTCTAGGTTGCAGTCGCACGCTGAAACACGCAAGCATGCGCGTCACTCACAGATTCAGCCCTGCTCGTGTGTAAACAATGTCACATCACTGTCACATCGTAAATATGTGACCCGTTATAGCCAAATGCGTCGGAAGTCGCACATATAGATTTTACGCTATGTGTGGTTTTAACTATATAGGCATGCAATTTTTGTTTTTGCGATTTTAAGTGAAATAGATAGCTTAGAATGTTTTCTATGAGAATATCAGGGTGAAATATAACCCCTGACCTTTAAAAGATATAATTTTGCCATTTTGTATTGAATATATCAATATATATATATATATGAAGTTAGTCACACTTTAGACTCAATTTTCTCTAATTTCTTCTGATTTTTCAAGGGTTAATTAAATAACTTTAAATATCCATAACTGTATTATTTTTTATCCAATTCTCAAATTATTTGAACCAATATGAAGATAAAAGACAGCAGAACATCACCATATGGTTATCTGGAAATTGAAAAGCTCCAAGTGACTCATTTGGCTATAACCGGTCAGTTATGCTCATCAGTCTACAGAAAACACAGTTCATCTTGCGCCTTCTGTTCCCAACAAACTCCACATCGATCCAGCTATACGGCTAGACAACAAGCACAGTACTATAGCAAGTCCTAACCTATATGCTACGTACCTATGCCATCCCACGCGTAAATGCAGCATTTTCACCGCACCCCTTCTAAATGCCACCTAAAAACACCCCATATCTAAACGCCGCCTAAATACACCCCATATCTAAACGCCGCCTAAAAACACCCCCTATCTAAACGCCACCTAAAAAAAACCTTCTAAACGCCACCTAAAAACACCCCTTCGAAACGCCACCTAGAAACACCCCCTATCTAAACGTCACCTAAAAACACCCCCTATCTACACGCAACCTACACGTGGCGCCCCCTATCTACACGTGGCGCCCCCTGTCTGTCTCCGCTTACATTCGGCGCCGCCCGTCAGTATGGCGCTGATGCTACAGATGTACTTGGAGCAGGACGGATGCAGCTCCGGCTTGGTGACCTGCAGCTGCGCGACGTCGCAGCGGTAGTGCGTGAACTCGCGCTTGTAGTATTCCTTCACCGGGTCGCCGCTGAACATCGACAGCTGGTCTATGTTCGGCGCGAGCACGATCTGTGAAACGACGACGCGGACGATGACGTTAGACGATGATGATGACGATGACGACACGGTGATACGAGAAGCGACAAACGTTTTATTTTACCAGCTTTTATACTCGAAAAATGCATGGTTACTTGCTTGTTATGTTTATATATATATATATA